AGGGGGAACCGATCACAATGATCTACCTATAACCCCCTCCCAGGGGGATGGACAACAGACAAGTGGATGAAGGGAGACATCGGTCAGTGTAGGACATGAAAAAAATGATAATAGGGATCCAGGTCCATCTGTCACCTGGAGAAAGGTCCATATATTTATGTTTTTGCAGAATAAAGCTGATGGACTTCCCTTAGAAGGACACATTTGGAGAAAGATGGACAAGGAAGAGATGAAGAAACCACCCAGTCTTAACCATGATTCTGCTTCCAGGTTGCTGACGCCCAAAGAGAGGGGCTGTTTGTTTAAGTTTTCACAGGCAAAGGAGAGAGGTGGATTTCTCTTCAGCCAGCAAGGCCCAGAAGAAAGGAGGGAAGCTGATGCTGTGACCTGACCCTGTCCTGTTACTAAAGTTATCCAAAATGTCAAGAAGACCTCGCAGATTCCTGAGTATGGCGATCGCTGCCTGCTGAGCTATTTCTTCCAGTGCGGATGCTGCCTAAGGGACACTCTGGGACTCTACCATAACTGAACATTTTATACAACAGTGGCTGGACTGTGACAGCAGACTGTTCTTTTGCTGAAAGATTAAGATAAAAAAAAGATCAAGATATTGGACTTATAAATTAGTGCTAAAATGTGAGGGGGAAAAAAGAAAAAAATGATAATGATTGATAAATTATCAAGGGTTCATGAGGGAGGTGGGAGGGAAAGCAGAAGATGAGCTGAGACCAAGGGCTCAAGTAGAAAGAAAATGTTTTGAAAATGATGACGGCAATAAATATACAAATGTGCTTGATACAATGGATGAATTGTGATAAGAGCTGCACTAGCCCCCAGTGGAATGATTAAAAAGTAAAATAAAAGACATGTTGTTGAGGGCCTCCAGTAAACGAAGGCCCAGCACCCCCATATCTTTACTCTTTTAACTAATCTGATAGATGTGGTCCTGCCCCTGTGAGTGGAGGCTATTGGAAAATTTGTCCTGTCACCAGCCCCCAGCATCAACATAATGGTGCTCAATCATTTAAGGGTTTAATCTGGATAAATCAACAATTCATGGAAACCAGTTTTGGGCTGGTTTGTATAAGTTCCTTTATAAAACAGTGAGTTAAAATTCACAACATTGGCTAAATTAATGAATGACACTATCAATAGAATGAATGGCCTCTTACCCCAGGAGGATGATTGATAATGATCTCTGTCATAGAACAATAACGAGACCTCTAAAGTGAACCAGAGACATAGATAAGCCATAGATAGGTGAATGGATTTGAGCTCACCTTTCATTCTACCCCTGAGCCAGGAAAGGTGATTTCTTACGCCAACGGCCCTGCTGGATGCTGGCCCTCATGAAGAGATCACTGAAGATATGGGTGCTACAGCAACGTGTGGTGAAGGAAGTAGATGGTGCCCAGCTATCAGAAAGAATAGCAGTGGGGACCTTAAAGTCTTGTCTTCAAACCAGCAGCCATCTAAGTGAAACATTAACCAAGGAGCCCACATGGAAGAAGCACATCAGCCTGTGGGATCCAAGGATGAGAAATAATAAACTTCAAATCCGAAGGAGGGAATGCTATCAGAGCTTAAACTGTGAACCCCAGATTTGCTGAAGACAATGGATGACAGTAAGATTACAAAATCTATTTAGAGGGTCCACACATGGATCAAGCCTCTGATGAATAACCCCCTGACCATAGTCCAGGGATGTGAATCACCTTGCTATCAGACAGAGAATATCATACACATGATCATGGCAGATGTAATTAGGTTAAAATGTGACACCTGGTCATTTAATCTCCCTCGACCCATTTTAAGTTTGTTCCAGTTTTTAATACTCCCTGTTTTTTTCTCAATTGGGTTATTTTCTCTGGTATATTTTATTATTGTTGTTGGCCTTTGGGTGTGTACATCTCCCAGTGTCTGAAGGCTAGGATGGGTGAAGTTACAGAGACAGTGAGTGGATTAGGGACTTATTGGCGGTGTGGGGGGAGGCTGGAGGGAAATGGGGAGCTAATAACAAATATGAAAGTTTAAAAATGTTCTGGAACTGATTGTAGTGATGATTGTACAACTCTTTTTAATATGACTGAACTATGGAAGTGTATGATATGTGAACCTTAGGTCAATAAAACTATATTAAAAACAAAGGTATAGCTACAAATATTCTATTTTATTATTACTATAGGGAAATGGGCAAAAATGGGTGACAAGATTCTGAATGAATTTTATTTCTTGCCTCATAAGTTAATGTATTTTCCAAATGTTCTCTGAGGAGCATATAATGCATTTATTATTAAAAATAAATGAAATTTGTAAAAAAAAAAGAGAGAGAGAGAGAGAAAAGAATTTTAAGAGGTAGGTCTTGGAAATCCACAGGGGGAGTTCTACCCTGCCCTATAGGGTCACCATGAGTCAGAATTGACTCTATTGCAGTTGATTTGGGTTTGTTTCTGTATTTTATATCCCCAGAGCTCTCGTGGCATAGTGGGCTATACACTAAGCTGCTAAGCACAACATCAGCGGTTCAAACCCCCCAAACACTCAGAGGAAGAAAGACGAGACTGTCTGCGCTCAGAAAGATTTAAAGTCTCAGAAACCCCAAAGGCACGCTATTTAACTGCTCTACGTAGCAGTCGATTCAAAGACGGGGTGTGGGAGTGTTTGTTTTGTTTTGTTTTGAATGTCATGTCCATTCAATGCCTGGAAGTTTACTCTCTGTATCTGGTCACGCTGAAGGGGCAGGCCTGGCGCCGGCCGTATCTCAAGGTCCTCCGTGGCTGAGGCTGGGGAGGCCTCGGGGGACCGTAATGAAGCATCGGGGATGACAAAGCCATGTGCCACCTGGGGCATCGCTCTCTTGTGGGAGCGCCTGGAGGGCCTTCTTATTAGACCCATCTGACCACCAGGGACTTCCCCTACCTCTGCTCCGGAAACTCGCTTTAATGAATCCGCCAGTCGGCAGTGGGTCTTGGTTATCTCACCAAAAGTGTCTAGGGTGATTCCAGTGGTTGACCAGCAGCTAACAGAAAGGTACTGTGGACACGCTATCAGGAGAGACCGGTCTCTGCGAAAGGACGTCATGCTTGGTAGAGAAGAGGGCATCCAAAAAGAGGAAGGCCATCCAGGAGATGGATTGGCACAGTGCCTGCAAGGGGGCTCAGACATCAGGACTTCGAGGAAGGCACAGACAGGAGGCAGTGTTTCGTTCTGTTGTGCACACGGTCGTCCCTATGGAATCTGAACCAACACCATAGCGCCTAACAGTGACAACCTAGAGGTTGGCGGTTCAAGCCCGGCCAGCTGTGATGCGCAAGAAAGGCCCTGGACACTCGTTCTCTTAAAGATCCCAGCTGTAAAACCCATTGGAGCACATGGGGGTCCCTATGAGTGGGCATGGACTCCACAGCCGGGCTCTGATTTGGGGGTGTCCCCACTAAGGGACCTACCGCAGAAGAGGCGGCAAGAGACCACACTGCACAGTCACAGCGCCCTGGATTCCCGCGCCACCCCCCCTCCCACTCTGCTGCCTCC